CGCATCGAAGAAAGGTGGCGTTCGCTTAGCCAAGAACAACGCAAGAAGATCATGCAGGCTGGCTCTCGTGATGGCGCTGTCCTGAAGCATGCTGAAGATACGAGCTTAGAGAATGTCTACAAGTTCATTCCCGAATGGAATATACGCGACATCACTGCCCTTTCATCAAACTTCTTCCTCGATATGCTAAAGCACCGGGCAACCCTGCCACTCAAAGACCAATACGCGACAGGGTTCAATGGACGTCCAGGCGATCACGCGCATATAGTTGATATGATGCAGAGGAAGAACCTACGGCTCCAAGACGCCGCCCAATTCAAGAACTGTTACACGCTTTTCTTGACGGAGGATGGCTACGGCGAATCGGTCCAGATCCTCGCAGAAAAGCGGGAAGAGGTTTTGGCAAACATGAAGCCGGCCATACAAGCTCAAGTCATAGTGCCCCAAGCTACTGGCGAGCTAATTCTCATGCGACAGGTGAATCTGATGCAGCTACTCAACATCAGCATTGAAGACATTCTCGATACCGCGTCTACCACGCGAACCCAGACGAAGCGCCCGAAGAAGCCAGCCGACGAGGCGACTGCAGCTCTAGCAAAGTTGTCCGTACACTCGGCTCCGAAGAAGGTCGAACTCTCAGACCTCGTTGACATGGCTCGCGATCAGGTGTCGTCGCGTGAGGATCTCATTAGTCTGATCTCCACTGAGCCTACGCTTCTAGCCCATGAAGTCAACTTTTGCTTCTTCAGTAGGCCGGAACTTGTCGCCGACGAGAAGGGCCGCATGTTACCTGTACATACAGATAAATACATCAGCGGTGCTGTATTCGATGCCGTCCAGAGCGCAGTAAAGATCGCTACCACATGGAACTACATTGGCCGTCTCATGGATTTGCTCAAGGATTCATCAGACAAACAATTCCGAGCGACCATTCTCAAGGAGCTGTCGAACACTTGCCACTTGGAGTATCTGCGCGCTCAGAATGGATTCAAACGTAGTGTGGCCGTCGGCATGGGAGGCAGCAAGTGGTTCAAGCGCATGTCGACCGTACAGAAGGACGACGTTCCGCGGATCTTGCTGAAGCGAAGCCCCGAGTCTTTGACAGTAGAGAACCCGCAGTTACACTACATGCTTCGACTCTGCCAGGAGGATACAAATTGGTCCGGGGCTGCGCAGTGGCTTCAGAAGCTAGAAGATCTCCATCGAGCCCATCCGCTAGAGCGAGACAATCTCTCGGAACGAGAATACGACTGTCTCGGAGACCTGGCCATCATCGTCACCTTCATCCAATCTCTTTCGTTAGTCGCGCAATTACCCGCACCGAACCACAAGAAAAGCCAGCCATTCGTACCAGGCTACACAGCTTTGGACAAGGAGTTGAGGTCGTTGAAAGACGGTATAGACCTCGGCGAGTACGCCATTCCGATCGACAACTTGCTGGAGCCGGGCATGGCTGAAGGCGCTCTTGCAGCACTAGATAAGTATGTCGTTGAGAAGGCGGGTACCAAGCTCGGCTTTCTCTACCAGGATCTGGTTGCGGACTGTATTTCGAGCATTCAGCAACAGTACGAGCAACAAAAGTTGAAAGCTAGTCAAAGCCAAGCTGAATACAAAGCACCGTCAGCCCCCGAGACCCCAGCATCGAACATTGAGCAGCGCAAGCAGAAGGAGAAGACGCGACCGGCGCAATCTCCCATCTACGACATAACGCCACAACACACCACAGATGACCAGCCCGTTTCATCAAAGGAGACCTTCTACGTCAAACCCTCCACTGCCGCCGTCTTATCGTCGTTGTTCTCAAGATCGTCAGCAGCTCATAGCCCAGTACGTTGGGACGCCTTTGTAGCTGCCATGACAGACGTCGGCTTTACAACTGATCCCAAAGTCGGCTCAATTTACACATTCGTTCCTCCCGAGAAGGTGTCAGTGCGTAGAAACCTAACGCTTCATCGGCCGCATCAGGCGAGTATCGAGGGGCGACGTCTTTTCATCTACTCCCGGCGCTTGAAGAAGGTGTATGGCTGGGATAGCTCCACGTTCGTTGCGGAGTAGGCGTAGTTGATGTTGTGTAGATAGGTATGTAGGCGCTGAGCTTTGCTCATAAGACGATATGATCGCGACCTAGGAGCGCGATTTCATCAAACCTTTCAATATGCAAGACTCCGATGTGTGATTGGGGTTGCGCACCTTTCGAAAGCTCATTGCGCAAATGAGATGCTACTCTGGATGTGATCTAGTTCACCTCAGGTACGTACAAACTGAACAGGTCTACAGACAAGCAGATGAGGTAACATAACCTCAATGTAGGCTCCAGGGTGTTCAGTTTCTGCCTTGGTTGACGTGAACCCATAGCAATGCTTTGGCGCGCCGACCGTCTTGTTGTCGCGTCAGACGAGGGCGCCAAATTTGGGGGGCTGGAACGGCGAATTTCAAGGATCAGCAGGGCTCCTGCCGCCGGCCCGCACCCGCACCTGCTTCCCTCCTCCAACACCACCACATTGCCATTGCGATGGACTCGTATGACGCGACACACCAGCTAGAGCATTATGCGCACGCCTAAGACGATAGCCATTCGCGAGCCACCCATTCAGGCAGACTTTTGCTATGTACTGAGCCTCAATATGGGCGGCAGTGTGATCCGTGTTCGGCTTTCTACGCCAGGAAGCCACGTCGGAAAGCAAGCCACAACTGAGGCTCGCAGTCTAGCCCACAGACATGGCGTCAACCCGGATCAATCATTCGCTGGGCAAGACATCCAGGCGCGGGGTGCATTGCCAGCTGAGTGAATGTTCATGCGCAAGCTCCTCAAGGCAACATTGAGGCGCAGCGGTTAAGGCGCCTTTGCATATAGCTAGCCACGAAGGCCGGACACGCGATGTACAATACCACTGCTTCCCTTCCTTCTATATCTGAAAGTCAAAATAAAGAACCATGGCCGCCCCTCCGTTGACCGAGAAGCAAGTGTACCTGGCGCTCAAGGACATCTTCAGCATTGGTCCAACACCGCCTAGCACTGCAAAAAAGATTCGCAAGAATATTGAGAAGTATAGATATGACGCCAAGGTTGCGCCTCTGGTTCAAAGATATGGAGTGGAAGGTATTACCGCGGTAGCCTTCGCTCTGTCAGGAAACCAGATCTTTGCTTCAACCGAGAAAGCGAAAACACGCTTTCCTGATGTCTTTGGGGGCCTTTCGAATGAGCCCAGCTCATCAACTGCCTCTGTATCTCAGACTGTGACGGACAGTGCATCGGCTATTCAGCCAGCAGTCACCGAGTCCAGCACTGCAGCAGATAGTGTAGCAGCTGTACCACGTGTTACAGGTGCATACAGTCCCGAAGAACTCATGGGCATCGGCGACAGGCTCAAAGCTAGGAAAGAGGGGGAGAAGATTAATAATGGTATGTTGAATCAACGTAGTCTTAAGCCATGCTTATAAGAGTTCAAGCAACCTCGCACACGCAATCGTTCGATTCCGTGGCCTTACCACTCTGGGACCAGCACCGCACCCTCGTCAAAGTTCAATACACTCTTGAAAAGGCATGCTTCGGTTTCGCTCAGGAGAGGTTAGTTGGGCTTTTGCAGCGAGAAGGCTGGGACTGCGCAGAGGCAGTCGAACTCAATCAATGGGCCAGAACATTACTCATCTGCCGTGAAGAATTCAAATTGGACGACATGGACGACGATGTAAAGCCTTTGCCTAGTCTTATGGAATCGATAATCCAGCTCCGACACAATGCCGTCCACCGAGTTCGCCTGTCATCCAGTGGACTCTTACAGCATCTTAACGATGCTGTACTTCTCGCGCAGCTTTTGCGTAACGAGAAATGCGGCAAATTCCTCACGGATATACGGCGGATGACCCATGATGCTATCGAGGAACTGGTGCGCAACAAGCAGTTACTGGACGGAAGATTGGCGGACATTAAGACAGAGTTTGCTGCAAAGAGAGCTGAGCTTGAGCGCCAAGAAGCTGCGTTACTGGAGGCCACGGTGAACGAGCACAAAATGCCTATGGTCTCTGTCAGCGGAAGTTTGCACCGGCTGTCAGACGACCACGGTGGTACTACTGAGCAAGCACATGCGCCATGGCTACGTGTGTACAATGCCGATCTACCCGCTGATGGATCTTCTGGACCTGAAGATACCACCAGCCAAAGCCCGGAGAATGAGGCCATCATAGTGATCGATGACGATGCAGACGTTGTCAGCCCCCCGCCCATGCATCCTGTACCCATACCGCCAGTCGACGATGTCTTGCTCGAACCAGTCATTCAACAAACGCAACAAGAAGTCGAGAAAGATGAGGACAATGATCTATCGATAGTGGAGACGATTCCTATAGAGGAGTCAAAGCTCGACGATCACGAGAGCAACCAGGGGCACTCTCTAGACCCTCCACCACTCGACCAAGATGATACGGCGACAGACACCGAGGAAGCGTCGGAAGGACATGTAAGGAGTCTGGAGAAAGCGGATGTATCTGATTGGGAAGACTCCAAGTTCCAGGAGAATGATGAGGAGATCTTCTATGAGCCAAGTACCAGTCTTGTGTCTACTTGCGTCGACGAAGCTGTAAGCGACGCGTTAGAACTACATCAAGCATCACCTATCGAAGACCAAATACGAGTCATAGCCTGGGATCCGGATGGCAGCGAAAGAAAGAGACAGCGCGTAGGGTATCATTTACGAGAGCAATTCGACGCTCTCATCACCAAACAATCCTGACGAGAAAGATTGCTAGAGCACCATAGACGGCGTCCCATCTCTTAGCCCTGAGTCAATAGTCAATGAAATCTTGCATGCTATCAATAATCAGCACTGAAGTGAGTGGATAGTTTCGCCTCAAGAGAGTCGACACGTACGCAACGATAAGAGCCACTAGGGCGCTTACTCGATGAAATATACAGTGATCACCAAGCTCAGAATTTAAATTGTCAAACAAACTTCGTTTCACCGCATTACATGCCCTCATGCACTCCTCCTCCACCAATTAAATCAATCCACTACGGAATCGATCCTTGTCTTCTTCCCCTCCTCTTTCTCAGCCTTCTTGGCCTCCTTCTTGACCTTGCTCTCCGCCAACTTCTCCTTGGTCTTGGCCAAAGCGGACTTTGCGGTACTCCCCACCTTGGATTTGACCTTTTGGGACATTTTGTCCTTCTTTTTGGCGTCCAAGTCTTCCCATGTTGTCATTCTCTCTGGTGGGAGAATGTCATCGAAGGTGTGGGCTGTGTTTACACTGTTCAGGCGTGGCCTGTTCGAGCACAGATAAGTGGTGGTGTTTTTGGTGGAGGACATCGCTGTGACGTGCGTGTGATATGGTGTTTGTGAGGGTCTGCGGGTATATAGGATTCGCGAGTCGAACATTATATAGGTATATCAGAATGCTCTGTCGGTGTGCCTCGAGCAGTCCACTGTGAGCAAACATGTTGATTTGAGTATATACGAATGAGGTTGAAGTGCATTGTGAAGGAAAGCGGTCGAAAGTATGCGCTAAATAGTCATAGTTGACGATATAAGACACTTCGTTGCATTGTTTGGAACAGCCCATACTGTCTGACTCGGAAAAGACATGCTTAAGACGACACTGCAGTCGTGGACGGCGTGGTCGTCCAGACGAGATGCTAGACCAGCCCAACTGGCCCTTTGTTTTCCCGCTTCTAGTCGCAGTCAGGATGAGATGACTAGTCTCAAGATGCGCAGAGCTGCGGTTTCTCGCGGAATTAGCACCCCGATTTTGTGCCATGCCGCTTCCCGAACATCGAGCGTGTTTTTGCAAACTGCCACAGCTCGCACTTGTGCAACGACCTAGTTCCTTGCCCATTCGTTCTCGACACTAGGCTGCTGGTCGCGCTCGACATGTCCTGGCAACGCGCCATCGAGGCGGCGATTGCCCTCCTCAATAGCACGAACTGAGTCCTGGCTGTCTTCTTCGGTCTCCTCCTCGATGCGGTCAGAGTAGCGGTTGCTGTTGTAGCCGGGTATGTAATCGATGGCTCGTCGAGGCTCGGTGTCGCCGTTGCGCTCGTCGGCGATCATGCGGGAGATACGTTCCGGCGCGATGCGATGTAGCCACGACTCTTTCTGTGTGGGGATGGCGATGATAAGGATCTAGGGAGTTGAATTAGCATTGGCGTCTCGGAGCGCTGTAACCCCCACTACGTACCTGCCAGATGAAAACCATGCCGACAACGGACATGAGCATGCCGGCAACTACCTGCTCCTCAGCCTTCCAGAATCTAAAACATCCATCAGCTCTGCCAGCATACGTGATCTGGCATGCGTCGGCCTTGTGTGTCTTGTCTGGAAAAGGCCACGCCATGTCGCGCGCGTTGGCTAGGCCACAGCACTCAAAGGCATCCTGGATCTGTCGGATGGCACTCGCATCCTTGTGCTTGAACAACGTCTGCCAGCGCTCGCGCAATCCACAGTCTAATCCAGAAGGCGGCGCGGCATGAGTGCCGACGAGGGTAATGACGACCGACGAGTAGATGAAGATGAGCGTGTTCGCGATGATTACGAGTGGCGGGCGCTGGATCTCACCGCGCGCCAGATGCTTGCGACGCTCTTGCCGACGCGTGAAGTCATAGCCGCACTCGAGCAGGAGGCCTGAGACGATGGGTAGAGCCGTAGTGAAGCCGGTCAATGTGTCGGAGATGGGCACAGAACGAGCGTTCGCGCGGGAGGCAGCCCACCTAGACGTGTTAGCGCGGTTCTAGCATCGTCGGTTACGATGTGAGTTTACCCTGCGAGCGCGGTTGCGATGACGAGATACTGGATATTGTTAGAACGAGCACGTGAAAGCTCGCACCGTACGAGACCTCACTAGCACGCTGATGCAAGTCACGACCTGCTTTCTGGTGTACGTCATTTTGCTGATGGTGACTCGGAGTCAGGCAGCCTAGTCGATGCTAGAGGCGGCTAAGCAGAGTAGTAGCAAAAGCGAAAGAATCCGTCGTAGGCGATGTCGCAGAGGCGATGGCAGACAGGCAGACCTGCAGCGGGAGATGAGAGGAACTTTGGTGCTGTATAGCTTTGGCTTCTCCGCATCCCAAGCAGGCGGTAGGTTACCGCCGTACAAGGGTGCCGAGGACCTTCTGCATCTATCTCAGCGCAGAAGATGATTACTGCTCAGTTGATGCCTATCTTTGCTGGGCGTCGCCGTGAAACGTGCAAAGCCTGAGCATGGCCTCATCGGTGAGACGCAGGCCACGGCAAGGGCAGTCCGCGGAGGACAAGCCAGCTGAAAGCGACATGGCAGGGCTCTGACTACCCGGTGACGCACCAAAGGACACGCACGCTTGCATCTGCGATGCGCTGCATCAGGCGGCTGCACACAGACGGCGTATCACCCTGGCCATGTGGTAGAGGCAGTCAATGGTGGTGTGAAGGAGTTGGGGACAGGAAGGGGCGTCTCACGCGTGATTGGGCTAGACGCTAGCGTTACCGTTGGCGGCTTCTGCGCCGGTTGATGTGAGTTCTCGATCTCTCGATCCAAACTTTTTCCATAGCGACGTCATGCCTCATCTACAATCGCACAATGCCTGAGCGGGGTAATATTCACCTCCTCGCGAAGCAATCAGGAGTGTGAGGCAGCAGCGGCGCGTCTTCTCGTCAAAGGTCAGCGTGCTCCCAGCTCGTGTGACCACGGGAAGTGGCTTGCCAGTGTGTTGTCTGCAAAACAAACGCGTTTGTCCACACGATCACCGTCGCCCGTATGCTAACATCATTGGGCCCCAGTGCCTAGTGCCCTTCCCGTCCTGCAAAAGCGGGGATTAACTGTTTATACACACGACTAACAATGGGTGAAAGTCAGCCTTAATCCGCGGTGCCGCCAGCGCTCTACTTTCCTTCGTTTTCCCAATCTCGTCCTCACCTCAGCCTCGTCGTGCAACACATTCACTGTCCGACATGCTGCTGTTTTCACCGCAACGATGCGACGCTCTCCTCAATCAGTCAGCAAAACAAACGGGCTCCATGTTTAGGCGTTTCTCCGTTCCGCTCTGGCCAGCCAGCCAACCCTCCATCCAACTCTCACCACGCGCACCCAAGCAGCAACAGCAACCCGCCCGTCCCTCACCACCAAGAAGAGGACAACCACCAGCAAAAGAAAATACTACCACCCAAATGTCACACCAACCCGGCACTCCCCGCTCAGCGGCCTTCTCTCCCACGCTTGGAAGCATCCCAGAAGTCTTCGAGTATGAACCTCTCGACGCCCAATTTGGTCCTGCTTCACTGAACGACGCGCCCGAGACTCCAGCGGCTTTCTTACCCGAGGTTTCCGACCTGAGTCCGCCGACGCTGACCCGAGCGACGTCGTGGCCCGCCATCATCCAGTCACCATCCCGGAAGGTCGCCTCACCTTTTGCTGTCTCCAAGGCACTGCGCAAAATTCTGGAAGCCGATCGCGTCCGACGGAGGCGCATTATGAAAGTCTACCTGAAAGCTATCGTTTTCCTAAAGTACCTCTGGCGCGCTAACGAGCGCTATGGCAATGTTATGGTCACCACCGGCATGTACATGCAACGATGACCGACGCAAGCAAAAGTTGGGATCTTCAGGCGTTTTAGCATGGGAATGGCGCAAAATGACACGACACGATTGTATTATGATTTTATGGGTTCCGACATAGCGATTGCATTGACTGGAGGGATGCATAGCCGCTGGCGTTTGGCATTGGAAAGGCGTTATTATTCCCAGGTGAACGTTGCTACTACTATGGGTATGACTGGTATTAGCCAGCTTCTGGATCTTTTGATCGAGCACTGTGGATACAGTACTATACCAAATGAGACTGTGTCAAAAGAGCTCGCCTGTGCTTTTCGTTTCTTCACGCTGTCTGACACTATTCACTTACTCTTCAGCGATAACGTCCATTCACGATACAGTGGTTGCATCACAGACCCCAAAGCGCCATAATGTTCCGCAACACCCACGCAGACTCGACCGGCTCGCTAGATCGGTTGAACGAATGAAGGCGCAGGCACCTCGCTCAACGACGCTCTGTTTCACCCCGAACGACAACCTACGACACACCTTAGTCCCAGTGAGACTTTGAGGAAGTCCTACGACATCGGCTAGCAAGCAAATAGCAATCGACTGATCACACTCCCTCCCTGAGTTGAATTTATAGACACGCAAGATGTCTTACTTATGCCTCTTTGGCACTTCGCCTGCAACGTCTGGATACACGGCCGACCAAAGTTCATCATCATCAAGCCGTTCGATATCCTCTTCCAGCGATCGAACGCGTGCAAGCTCTTTCTCGACAACCACGACTTCCAGCACTTCACCGAAGAAACGCACGAAGACCATCGTGCACCCTCCATGTATACCTGTATGCAATAATGGCGCTCCAATACAACTGCCTGTAACCCAAGAACGTTCATCAAAACCGAGACGACCGACATTAGAAGCAGCGTGTTCTGCTTCGTCGTCGGACGAGAGGCCGTCAGCATCGGCGTCGGCATCGACGTCGGCATCAGCCGTACCTGTGCTAAGACCTTTGCGTCCTGGGGAACAATACGCAGGGAACATTGGCCGGTTAGATGCAAGCACGGTAACGGTCGAGGTTGAAGTCTCAAGCGAAGCTGCTAGGAAAGCTGAGCGCTCGATCTGGTATATACCGAGACATTAGGGTAGGCGAACCAGGATAGATTGGTGTGGACATAATTTAGTTATGAGTGAAGCGGGGAACAACCTCATGCCCATACACGTTACCCTAGCAAAATGCTAAACAGGTCTGCAGCCTACATTGATATGACAACATGCCAAGTAGGGTGATCTAACGGCGATGTAGGCTCCGGGCCTGTTCAAATATTTCCTTTGCATGAGGTGCATTATCTAACATCGGCTTATTCATACCAATAATTACTCAATACCCCAACTCCCTTAATCTCTCCTTCCAGAACTGCAACCTTGCTATATCGCAGACATCGCTCCCTCCTCTTTCCACCCAAAGATCACCCCCATTCATCGACTCCGTACCCGCCTCACACATTTCCTCTATCTCATTCCCCGCGATCAAAAGCCACTGTGCAGCCGCCGGTACATGCATGGCTGTATTCTTGCCCAGCCTTGTACCAGGCGAATATTCCAGGGCCATGGCTAAAGTCACACGAGACAGTCTGGTGTAGTCTGCGAGAGCTGGTGTGGTTTGAGCATCCGGATCATGTGCGGTCAGTGCAAGAAGAGTGTTGAAGTCTTTCCATTTGGTGGTTGCGACTTCAGGGGTTGCTGGGTTCCGGATACTGTGAGTCCATAGCTCGGGACCTATCATGAAGACGTCAGCCATGAGATATATAGGGTGGCAGACGGCAGCATAGAGATTTGGTAAACGTACCCTGAAACTTCTCCGTAAGATGCATACTGAACCACGGTAACTGACTCCACAACCTCTTCCCTTCAATCACAATGACCTCTCCAACCCCAATTTTGGGTGGCGGCTCTAGGCCAGGTACATCCCAGCTCCTGGCCTCTGGTCCTCGGTTCACAGCATCTGGTTGTCTTGCGAGTTCAACGAGATATGCTACCAGTAGTTCCAGTTCCTCCAAACTAGTACATGATTCAGCAGCCGAATAGTAGACACCAACCAGATCGGCTAGGGCGAAGCTGATGTCGTCTTGCGCTTCGACGAGGGAGGCTGTTGCGGAGGCAGAGCTTTCGGGCGATGTCTTGGAGAAGAGGAGCTCGTCGATGATGGTGATCTGTTGTTTACATGCTGGAGTGGATGAGGGGTCAGAAAGCCATTTCCTTGCCCATTCGGTTGTCATGTTAGGAGGTTTTTGGCGAAGTCTGTTGTGCGTTTGGAAAGGATGTCTATAAGCTGTACAGAAATTTTCTCACATCGACTATACACCCGTGTGATCCGCATCAGCCCTTTCTACGCCCTTTACTCCCCGACGCACAGTGGTTGGACACACCAAGTCCGCCATATTGCCACTCGTCGGATGACGTCACGGGAGAGTATGCACCGGGTGCTTCATGCCAGCAGGGGCTGCCACAAAGCGTGAACACTTGGTATGAAATGCTAAGCGCGATAATGAAAACAAAGTGAGGTCTTGGACTAGTGCAATGTTGTATAGCCGACGGAAGGCTGATCGGTCTCTCGCCTTGCGTAATGCGTTGTGACCGATTGGTTGATGCTGTCATTTGCGGGGTAGCGCACGTACGAGTCATGTTGTTCCTGCCCAGATCTTCGCCACATCGCGTCTCCAACATTCACTCCCGTCTACCCCGCAAACTTCTCCCTCCATCAGACGACGCGTCTCGACTGTTCAACATCGTCGCAAATGATGGCCTCCCTCTATCTGACTCCTGAAGCACCGCTGTCGAGAAGCGTTCGGCACTTTGAAGTATAGGGGTCCTTCTCCGCGTTATCAACCTCCACCCACCCTGGGTCGTTATACAGCCGAGGGAAGCTTAGAGGGGCATGCCGAACGCCTACATGCTAGCGCCACTGATACTAACTACCGCGTGTACTATTCTGATGTCTCCAAGCCCTTCTCTCGATCTAGCTAAGACTCAATGTATCTCTTCTTCACCTACCGCTCTTCATGATGCGTGCCTTTGCGCGAGCCATCTCGCGCCGCCAGTACAATGCTCACCGGCAGTTACTTAACCCAAGACACCACAGGAAGTTCGCCTCCGTCAATGGGCCAAATGTCAAAGGTCTCACAGTCATTGATCACCACTATGAGTAATCGACATTCAATCTATGGGGAGGCACGTAGCTAACTTCAGTCCAGTGCAATCGTGGTGGGAGCCGGGGGCGCTGGCCTTCGAGCTGCCGTAGGACTCACGGAAGCCGGACTCAAGACCGCATGCGTATCGAAGCTCTTCCCTACCCGTTCACACACCGTCGCTGCGCAAGGTGGAATCAACGCTGCGCTTGGGAATATGACTGAAGACGATTGGCGTTGGCACATGTATGGTGAGCAAGTGCGCTATCCAAGATAGCCTTGACTAACATGCGGGTAGATACCATCAAGGGGTCAGATTGGCTCGGCGACCAAGACGCGATACACTACATGACGCGCGAGGCCGTCCCAGCAGTCGTCGAACTCGAGAATTACGGCATGCCATTCAGCCGGACGAACGAAGGCACCATCTACCAACGAGCATTGGGCGGCCAATCGCTCAAATACGGGAAAGGCGGGCAGGCCTACAGAACGGCATGTGCAGCAGATCGTACCGGGCATGCAATGCTACATACGCTATACGGACAGAGTCTCAAGGAAGGAGTGCAGTTCTTCATTGAGTGGTTTGCGCTCGACTTGATGATGAGCGAGGGCAAGTGCGTGGGCATAACAGCGCTGAATATGGAAGATGGCACAACTCACAGAATCTTTGCCCGGAACACGGTGCTGGCTACTGGCGGATACGGAAGAGCATACTTCAGTGCAACGAGCGCGCATACAAGTACTGGCGATGGGAGCGCAATGGTCTCAAGAGCAGGACTGCCGCTCCAGGACATGGAATTTGTGCAGTTTCACCCTTCTGGCATCTATGGCGCAGGCGTACGTCCACGAAAGCATCTTAACATAAAGTCTCTCAACTGACGAGTACACTAGGTCTTGATCACAGAAGGCGCTCGCGGCGAAGGCGGCTATCTCCTCAACAGCGAAGGCGAACGGTTCATGGAGCGCTATGCCCCTACCGCCAAAGACCTGGCATCTCGCGACGTCGTCTCTCGCTCTATGAATCTCGAGATCCTAGAAGGCCGCGGCTGTGGGCCGAACAGGGACCACATACATCTCCAGCTCTCCCATTTACCAAAGGACGTCATCATGGAACGCCTGCCTGGAATCGCGGAAACAGCAGGAATCTTCGCCGGCATCGATATCACGAGAGAACCAATACCGGTGTTGCCAACAGTGCATTACTGTATGGGCGGTATACCGACGAATTATCATGGACAGGTGCTGGATGTAGACGCCAAGAGTGGGAAAGAAGCGGTTGTCGACGGTCTCTATGCTGCAGGTGAGGCCGCATGCGTCAGCGTTCATGGCGCAAACCGGCTGGGAGCAAATTCCTTGCTCGACATTGTAGTATTTGTGAGTACTCAAATCCTCCCAGCAACCTTGCTGCACATGCTGACCGTATCCAGGGCCGCGCAACAGCACTGCACATCTCTGCGAATCACTCCCCATCTGCGCCTCATACTCCAGCCCCCGAAAACGTCGGCCTCGACTCCATCAGCGAGATAAACACGTTCCTAGACACGAACGGAACCACACCCACCGCCGCTTTACGAAACGACATGCAAGCTACCATGCAATCCACGACGGCCGTATTTCGTACCCACGACTCATTATCCAAAGGTAACACACAACTCAGCGACATCGAGAACAAATATACCACCGACCTCCGCGTCACAGACCGGTCCCTGATATGGAACTCCGATCTTATCGAGACACTCGAACTGCGCAACCTTCTTACCAATGCTTCGCAGACGAGCAAGGCGGCATTGACAAGGACAGAAAGTAGAGGCGCGCATGCGAGAGACGACTTCAAAGAGAGGGATGACGAATACTGGATGAAGCATAGTCTGACGTGGCAGGGCAATGTTGGTCAGGAAGTCACGTTTGGTACAAGGGCGGTACAGATGGCGACGTTGGATGAGAAGGAAGCGGCGAGTGTGCCACCTATGAAGCGCTCGTATTGAGACCTACCGGCACCTTTGGCTTGTTTGAGGTCTTCGTTTCGTCTTAGGTCGCCTTGCTGGCGTTAATGTACAACTCAAACGTTGACATGGACCTGTTAATTCAACTTATTAGCATATTCATCTATTCTGGACTACTACTACAACGTCAAGATGGGTTCGATTCGTACTCATCGCCTCCCTTGTTGCATGCGTTGTGCAATACGATGAGATATCGGTTCACGCAATGATGTGTAGGGAACACATATCATTTCAGCTATCTACGCCGTTCGCCGTCGAAGATAACATAGGCGATTTTTAAACTATACCGAAACCCTTCGAATAATCATTCATCTCATCATACACTGTCATCCATCCATCAAGCTCCAGATCCAAGCATTACATCCATCTAATCATCCCAGCACACCTTCAAAGCTACACATCAAGTCAGCAAACGTTCTCTAACGGGTTGATTGACAAATCAAGAGGTTCGGACGACTTACCACAAGGGAACGGAAAGTACATATCCTGATTCTCCGTCAAATAGGCATGGTACGAGTACTTCTCCTCGCCCGGCCCCATCTTCTTCTCCACCTTGTGGATCTTGCCCTGCGGGCCCAGCGCCGGGCGAAGATTCTTGAGTCGAGCGACTTCCCTGAGCATAGTCGTGAGCGCCATGCGCGTCATTGGTAGTCCGAGACACTGGTGTGGACCGTATCCGAGGTGGATGTACGAATCCAGGGAGCGTGTGATGTCGACTTCATCTGGGTTGGGGAAGACGTCTGGGTCGTGCGATGCAACGCGTAAGTTCACAAAGACAGCATCGCCTGGTTTGAGGTCTGTCGTCTTTCCGTTCTCAGTGATGGAGGTGGGCTTGGCGACGGCGCGGATGACGCCTGTTTCGCCGTTCAGACGGCCTCCTTCCATGGTGTAGTGCATCAGCTTTTCGAACGCTTCTTCGCTGTCGTCTTCAGCAAGCTTCTGGATCTCAGGCCAGTGCTTCTTGCCGGCGCCGAGGATGTAGTATTCGATCGTTTGAGCAAAGAGTTGGCCTTGGTTGGACACCATACCACCTGCTGTACCGAGAATATGACCCCAAGTCAGGGTCTCTGGCGACATGCCGCTCTCTAGAAGTCGCTTGATCATATGCACGCCATAGAACTTCATGGTAGTTTCCTGAGGCCAGATCGTCGCCATGATACTGGACAAGATTCCAGAGTTTGCAATGGCCTGCACGTTCTTCTCAACGATGTTTCCAAGCAGTTGTGTTGCCTTCCTTGCTTTGACGTGCAAAGGGAAAGATGAAGCAGGATCCGCATCGAAGAAGATGAGCGCAAAAACCGACGACATGATGAGGTAGAGTTCAGCCTCTGTAAAGATACCGTAGGGCTGTGCGGCCGTCTTGAGCGGCAACATGAACAGCTCAGAGCAGAAGTGGACGTGGGCAAGATTGCCGATGGAGCGGATGATGTCAACTTGGTTGAAATCGGCAATCTTTACGCTCTTCTCTTTCAACAGCTCCCTGGTCTTGAGCGTATAGTAGTTGCGTACTTCCTTGTCCCACGACGAGACGTAAAGGGCTTTGCTGACCATTTGCCTAGATTCGGCATTCTTGGGTCCGTCGCCAGCAAGCATGAAGTCGGCGGATGCGGGACCCATGATGTATTCCATGGCTCTGCCCCAGACGACTTTGAAGGTAGCTTGGTCTTTCATGATATCGGTGGCGAGTTTGTACTCCTTGACGAAGTGTGGGTGTGCTGTTGCCACTGGTTTGCTGAAGTCGTACAAGTTGTCCTTCTTCAGATCGGTGAGAGCCACCTTCATCGCGGAGGGAACCGTCAGAGGGTAGTGTGCGTACACGCTGTTGTACTTGAAGTGCTGTGGGAAAGCGCGCAGGAAGAGCTTGTAGAAGACGCATCCATTGTCGACACCAAGGTCGCTTTCAGCAAGCTGGTAACCCCAATTTGTCAATGTGCGCGGGTTGTAGTCGTGAGTGTAGAAACGGTCGCCGCGCACCAACGCTACCGCGTCTGAGAGAACAGCACGAGAGACGGTGTACCCTGGGCAGAGACCGGAACCTGGAGCCATGGGTTGCTTCGCATCCTCGACAACGATGCCAGGGTAGATTTCAACCTTATCGGGATGGTCGTAGAGGTGCTTGAGTTGTTCTTGCACATACTTGTCGGATGTGATGTCTTCGAAAGTATTGTGCGGCTCGAGCTTGAAGTATTTCCTGAACTCATTGAGCGAGCCCAAGTTCCAACTACGTGCTTGCTCGATACCGAGAACCTCGATAGCACGGAAAACAGCGGGAACTCTGTTTGGTCCGAAAGAGTTGGCACAGTCTTCAATGCTTGATGTCAAGATGTCAACAAGGCCTTGGTCAGGTAGCGTGCCGGACTCGCTTCGCTCCAGATTAGCGAACTTGCGTTTCGATGGATCCGGATCGGTCTTGCTGTAGACTTTGTTCAAAGTACCAAGGAACTCGCCTTTGCTAATAGACTTGGGATCACGACCTTCGCCAAACATACCGTCCCACATCTCCTGCGTCCATTTCTCGTCGCGATCGGACACTGTAGAGTGCCATCGGTAAACGAGGTTGAACTCAGCTGAGACCTGGTTGCCAACACCCATGGGTAGGTTCGCTACCTCAGCGCGGGGATTCAGCTGCCAGTTGCTATCTGTGCGGTTGAGATCCAGAATGGTGCGGACGTAGTCGATCAGAATAATGTTGACGTAAAGGCCGCAGGTGATGAGACGACCAGTCTGAAACAGATCATTGTCGTACTTCTTCCATGCTGCATCGTACTTATCCTTTGCCTTCTTGTCGGCCTCAGCATCGCCAGTAGACTGGGGCGCTTCATTTGAGGGCTTCTTGAAGCGCCCTTGTTCATTGATCGCGGCCAGGTTCTCGACAGTGTAGTTGTGGAAACGGTTGAACATGATCAACATGGCGCCTACACCAGGGGGGAAGAACAACAATCGCGCTTCTGAGAAACAGTCAGGCTTGATCCTTCCATCGCGTCCGGTCCTCATCATGTCTTGTTCGGTCTGGTTACTCCCATACAAGGGCGACAGATCGAGGTAAGAAGATGTCATGGAAACGGCGAAGTCCTCGTGGCTCGTCCGGAAGCAGTCGTGGATGATGATAGATGCCAGATAGAACAGCATGCTCGAGATCCTGTTGGGATGCAGTTCGGCATGCTTCCTCGTCATGATGCTGTCGAATACGACACCCGGATCTGGGCGCGCGGGGGTCTGCATCTGAGATGGTTTGACCGTTCTAGCATATGGTGTCCCTGCTGCGCCCACTTGGGGGTTGACTAGACTGTTGTTGGAGCCATCTGCGGATCGATACTGGAACTTCTCTCCGAGGTACGACTGCGGTGGGTGTTGCAAGTCGTTCCATAGCTGCTCTAAGAAATTGCCTGTAACAGCGTCCCTAGTTTTGGATCCGTCGGGCAGCTTGGCGGCGGTCCGGATAAGACCCTCCATCAGGTAAGTCTTGTCGTCAGTATAGCCACCAAGCATTTTCTCCTTCTGGATCTCCAATAGACTTTGGATGTTGTCGACACCAAGGTGAGACATATCGCGAAGACTGCCCTCAATCTTCTTGTACAAGCTAGCCTTCTCTTCTGGGGCAATCTTGGAGCCGTCGCCTGTCTGGTCGGGAATCGGGGCTGCTGCTGCGCCTAGTAAAGCTGCTGCTGCTTTGAAAGAATTGCCGATTTTGTTTCTGAGTGTGCTGATCTCAGATGGATCGGCTGGTTTTGGTGGCTCCGCTCCTGTGCGGGTATCGACATGGGCGTCCCATGCCGCTTTCGCATCTGCTGTTATTGCAGCCATATCTTTGGGTAAGCTGGAAGGTTGTGTTAGTGGCATTCTCTCGGCTAGATCTGATCTTGCGACTGGGTTGAGAAGGGACAGTTTTCTTGGCGGGCAATCCGGAAGCCTCATCTTGCTCGAAGATCTGGAAATGGTAGGTGCATCCAACCAGAAAGACAGGAGCTACAAAAGGAGATAGGAGTGACAGCAGAAGGAGTAAATAAGAGATACCGTCGGGCTTACATTCAGTCGAACACCGTTCAGCGAGTAGTTGCTTTGTTAGGTACGCAACACAGAGTATCTTGTGAGGTCGCTTGTGTACTCTTACCGCCTCTGCAATCGACGTCACGATGTTCAACAATCTCGCCCGTTACTCGAAGTAGCAAGAACGAGATGTGACAGGCAAGAACGTGACGACCAGCCTTGCAGATGCAAGTAGTTCAAGCCGAAGAGCGCGCAGCCAGCCAAAGAAAAAGCAACGAGGGGTATATGTGCGCAACACCAGATCAAACGCTAACAGAACGATCGAAATGGTTCAGCACAAGAGGACAATGGGAGTGAGGCTATTGTTCGTCCCACAATGGCTCCTGCCTCAGTCCTCTTATACACGCGTCCTCACACGACCAGATGCGTAACTGCGGCTGAAGCTAGCAGTCCCTCTAGTTCTCACCGGGGATCGTCAAATCAAAAAGCGCCACCCAGCCCAGCCCGTCACAGCTGAAGAAAGGTCCTCTGCTCCCACCTGGGCATCGTAAGCCGCGGCCCGGCGTGCCCAAACACGGTAAATGGCCAATGGAGAGTTGTTGATTAGCCAGTTCGGCAGGTCGAGGTAGTGCTGCGGCTAAGGCTAGGGCTGATCACGAACGGGCTTGCCGGCTGGGTTGTTTGGCTGACCGCTGGTAGGCAGAAATGAGGGCCCGCATCATCTCAGCCTCGATCTGCCTTTTTGCAGGCAGTTTCTTGCAGGCAGCGAGATATTGAGCGTGATTTGCAGGTCGGTCGAGCCTCACTTGCTTATGAGTGTCGGTGAGCGTGCTTTTGGGAAATGCGTGGGTGGGGAGATGACAGGTGGGTGGCATGCTCTTCCCGCGCTTATGCAGGGTTTGTTCGGCGTTCATCGGGGCGATGTGGGAGTGGCCGCCGGGCGGGCAGATCCAACAAGCCATCACGACAAAAAAGCAAAACATTGGGTTGTGGTG